TTTTGAATTAGGACTGTCTTGAGTTGTCCATGCATTGTCTAGCGATTTTAAGCTTTTTCAAGGAAACAAAAATCTGGAATTGTCCCTAGGGTGAGGCATTTGCGCACAGTTTTAAAGCCCTTCGGTGGGGTGACTGTGGTTTTTGCTGTCCCGGGCTCATCCCTCATTCTTCTTAACCCCTTCCAAACCAATTTTTCTGTTTATCAAGAATCTCCTCAAAACGGGCTTCGTGATTGAGGCAAAATACCTGAAAATTGTACACGGAACCGATGTTAACGGTGTACAAGGTAGAATGAGTCTATTCATTACTTTGCCAACGCCCAATTTTTAAAACCGGAAGTAATGATGTTTATTTCAAGGGGGCATGTCTCACGAGTTTTGAGTAAATCTTCAAACACTGTAAACACATGTAGCTGAAACTATCATCGCAACGATCCTCGCTCACTAATAATGATAACTTATATCAACTTCCATTATTTATTGCCTGGCTAAGATTTTCACGGATTCTTCAGTTCAGTTGTTTGAAACCAGGCGGTTTCACGTGAGTTGTAACGCCAGGCAAGGAACGTGACGACCCGCGATATGCGTGGGAAAATATTACTTTTTTTCGATCAAGTTGGAAACTGGCAACTTTGTCGTCGAGTAAGGTAATACATCTCAATTTTCATTACTATGGTTAACTTTAAAAGCTCTGGTTTCGGTAAAGGAACTGGAGGAAAATCAGGAAAATTCCAGTTCGACTGTGATGGTTGAATTTTGTTTACGCGTCATAGCATAAACATAACAAATTCATTTTCCTTTTCCTTATACAATCTGCCTTTTTTTATACTGTTTTTCGCAGCAGAGTTATCGATTATATTACAGAGGCTAATTTTATTACACAGATCACTCAGATTTAATGACAGAAACTCTATTATCGATTGTAATTTTGGCAACACCTGGCGAGTATTCGGTGTACAGATTATTGACAAAGTCGCTAGAACAGTCTTCCATTCATTACTTTTGTTTCTGCTCCGTTAAATTTGCCCAATTTTTTTATTAATGAACTCGATTTAACTACGAACAGTGAGTATTCAGGCAGATTGGCAAGCTTCAATGCGATGTGGCAAAAGAGATATACGCCTTTAAAATTCTGTTCATTTTGCGGGTGTAAAAAAATCAAAAAGTATACCCACCAAAAGTTTAATCGATCGTTGCGAAAACGTTATCAATTTCGAAGTAGTTTCTAAAAATACAATAAAGAGGGATTGTTCTTTCAATCTGTATTGGCAAAGGAAGATTAGCTTTGAAGACAGGGTTGTAGTCGAAGGCTCAAAAGCAGCTTCTATTAACCAATATGGCGCCGGTCCGAGGCACCCAAAAACCGGCCATGTCGATAATTTGCGAAATAGGAGGAATTAGAACCTAAAGTTACCTATTCCTTATTAAAGACCTCAAATCAAGTCTACATGCCAATTTTTAGCCAATTCGGTGAGATAGTGTGGCAGCGCCTTTTTAATATAGCTCGAATCTTACAGACAACTGCTCTTAAATTGTTTCTGTATTCCGTGTTTTTCAAAACATTAACCTTAAATTATTCGTCATGTCAGCAAATCTGGATTATAGAGAAAGAGAAAGACAGAGAAAACTAGACAGTAGGAGACAGGCCAGCGAAGCTCAACGAGAAAAGGAGCGACAGACAGCTAGAGCGAGGGATAAAAAACAAAGGAGACTTTTTTTGTTGGAAGAACAACATGAAAATTTTGTAACGGCGGTGAGAAAATAAGAAATGCTAGCGGCCACCAAGGTGAAAATGAGCGGCAGTGAAAAAAAGTGAACAAGAACACGTACGACATTTCGTTCATAAAACGTGTAACTAGGAAGTTTCTAGAAGTTTCACGTTTCACGTGTTTCACAAAACAGCGGCAAAGAAATGTACAAAAAAAGTGTGTTGCACGTGAAAAGTTGCTTTTTTGTTAATTAGACCTATTGTTGTTTTTTCACCGTTTTCGTTGCCTTCGCCGCTTAACATTACACTATCTTATATTTTGTTTGAACAAACTTACGCCTAAGTCTTACGTTACTTTATTTAGTTCAGTGACTTGTTCATAAATAAGATTAAAACTAAATTTAATGATCTTTTTTACAGAATGATTTTAAATGCAAAAAGAATTCACAACTCCTTACTACCCAGCCAGCACTAGCCACCTCCACGTCGGTGAATAACTTTTATATATTATTTCTCATCATTACTTCTGTTATAGTGGTGATAATCTAGCTAAGTTGCAGTTGACCTCAGTTTTAAAGGGAACTATAATTTCAAGCATTACAGGGTATTTTGCTCTTCTATAGACTCCCTCATCACAAAGAAAATATGGTAACGAGTCTTTAATATAACAAGGTAAACAATGTATCAGAGATGGAAGCAATAAAATGAAATAAAAAGAGAAAGCGAACACACGCTCGCTTCAATGGTTTGCATAATTGGGCTTACTTGAATATTGTATCTGCATGCAGAGATAAGTTTATCGAAACTAATGGCGACCCATGTAAAACGTGCAAGAAATCAACGACCTTAATTCTCAATTGAAGAAGAACCACTGAACATTGGCCTTTCTATTAAAATCGGCCGACTTGGAACAAAGGCAAGTTTTGCGCACACGAAGAGGTTCAACTCCCACAAGATTGGTTTGAGACACCAACATGGCCGTCCTTTTTTGGGGGGGGGGGACACCAACATGACGAACATGACTGTTGTCATGTGAAAAAGCTCTTTGACGCCTGCTCAGGTCAACTATTTTTAAAATAGAGGACAGGTTTTAAAGCTACTAAATAAAAACGAAATGAAGTTCTTTTCTGTGGTTTACTCTACATAAAGACAAAGTGAGTTTCTAAAATGTTTTAGCTACGAAATATGTAAATACATCTGGATAGGAATTTGCGAAACAAAACGAGAAATAATAGTGTACTACATCCAGGGCTACATTAATTGTTTAGTTTGTCGCCTATATCAAATTATAAAATAAGCATAGTCGTCCGTTTAAGGCAACCAATAGTTTAAGCGAAATCATAGCGTCTGTGAATAATAACGTGTGATATAACAGATGTTAAACAGGGGAGCCTACATGTACCAGAAGAGAAGGGGACATGCACGTACAAAAAGCTGTTAAAATATATAAATACCCTGGAGAGTAACAGATCTGATTAATATAATGGAATAGACCTTTTTACCGATACGGCGGCCATATTGAATTAATTCGATTTAAGGAGTATTATAGGATGCCAAGGGGGCATCCGCACATTTCGTTTGTATTTTCGAGCGCTTTTCTCCGAGAAATATACAGTGAAAGACCATATTTCTAATGCTAAACTAGAAAAAGGCGACCTTTATTACATCCAATCAGGCTGATCTCTGAAGCGGTGTGAATAAATATTGGACAATTTCGGTGATTTTGGCAGTTGCATAAGTCCTTGAGAAAACAGTTAAAAATGTGGCCCCAGTTGTTTAAAAGATGAACAATGGTATTCACTGGATAAATCTCTCGGGAAATACGTCCCCGCGAAACATCCTTAGCGGAGAGGAACGAGGGGAGACGGCTGGACTGGCAGGCTAGTGGATAGCGCAGTGGGTTTCCTGATACTTATTCACTGGATGGTGATTTTGTCCGTGGATAGCGCCATATCCTACGTTTAAACAACCAAGGCCAGCTCTCAACCTGCTAATCTGAAAATATTTGTCAAAACCAATCCTATTTTCGGTGCTACATATTTATAAATTCATGGTGACCGCTTTTCTTCAAGCCACCTTTCGGGTGGTTCTCTAAAAGCCGTTGTCATATTTAGGCGTTTTAGACGTTCAGACTGTGGGGACGGTGCAAAGAGATGTAATCAGGAAAAACTGCGAGGGCTTGGGGGGGTAGGGGTGAGAGCGAAGGGACTCTCATTCTCTTCCTCCTTATTTTTTCCCGCTCTCTGAATTTGCGCCGCACGTCACTATCTCCACGCCATGAACAAGCTACATTTGACACAGTTATTTTATTATCAAAACTAAATTTCTATCGAATTAAAGTAAACCCCTATGAATTGCCTTGCTCATACTTAGACATTTGTTGTTTCTCCGATCGATCGAGATTTGTCAAATATAAACCACTGGCTCAGTTCAAATAAATTGAGGACTCTCAAAAACTGAATGTATGTTTATTGGCTCAACACGAAAATTGAACAGTCTTGGAAATTAATGGTGCTCAATCAACCAGGCATAGTCAATCGTAGAACCGATAATCGATAACAATCAATAGTAATCGATATCAATCTTCGATGGTTATCGATTTCCGATACCAATCGATAGAAATGGACAAAGAATAAAACAGATTAAACAGATTCAAATTCAACATGGATAATCATATCCACACCATGTCGAAAACAAATGTCTTCTGGTAATTATCCGCTTTCTGCGTCCTTCAATCACGGGTGACTTCAATCGAACGCGTACTTTGACTCTCTTTATATTAACATTTATTTAACTTTAGAGGTAATTGTACGAGCGAGATGTATACAGTATGTATGTCTGTCGTGCTATGTAAGTTTCTTTAGCCTGTGTACAGCCGCCCCATCCCCTCTAACAAAATCGGGGAGATTTTGTTTGAGGGAAGTTGGGCAGCTGTACATACGCTAAGTTCCTCAGGCATTCATTTCCCTGTTTCCCCGATATATTCTTTACAAGGAATCCCGTAGAAGCAATGCAGAGTGCATCGCTGTTTCTTTTTCTTTTGTTTATGAACAAAAGATTATCCCTTTCTAATTGAGTTTTTTCGATGTGCAAACTTGGTACGTAGTAGTAGCTTTCCTCTCTCTTTCTCCTTTACCTACTTCCCTCAAAAGTACAACTAAAAGAATTCTCGCCCTTCTTCATAAGAGTTCCCACATTGATTTCTGGGGTATGTCTTAGTCTTGCTCTCATTAGCTGAATTTTTTTGTAGCTTGGAGTTTTCGATATTTACATTAATTGTCAGTTTAATTCAATGGTTTTAGCTGCAACTATTGATCGAGTGGCATCAGACGCACTGGCTAAAGTTGAAGAAAAGTGTCCTGTCATCGCCAAGCCACCTAATGAGGTACGTTTTACTGACTCAGTAATTTGGTGTCTTGTTGTTTGACCGCAATTAAACTAGAGTTGCTGACACAAACTAAACAAAGTACTGCCGCGGCATTTATTGAAAAAAGCGCCGTCTCTGAATAAGCGCCCCACCTTCCCGGCGAAACTGCAGATCGTAATGATTTTAAGTGTTTTGTGAAACTGTGTATGCTTATGTGCTCGATTGGAAGGGGCGTTTTAATGCTGTTCCTATCGTTTGTATGCAAAAGAAAACAAAACAAACAAAAGAAAAAGAAAAGAAAGATTAAGAGCTACTATGATATTGGAAAATGACCATACAAGTCCAAATAATTAAAAAATATGAGTAAATATGGTAGGTTGTCATTTTCACCCATTTTCTCAGCGTATTGGTCATGTTGTTGATTCACTAAAAAATATTGAGGATTATGGAAATACGTGGTAGGCGTTTGGAAGCGTAAACTGTGAACCTATCGGCAGCATTTGTCAGTGCAATTTCTTCCGGCTGTAGATCTTCTTAAGGTAGGGAAACCTGTTGAATGAACTGAGTTCGTATTTATTGAGATTTACTGTGAGATATTCCGCACTATAAATTCTTGCGCGTCTTTACTTTATGGCATAGTAAATTTCAATGGCCATTTGGACAGAGGTAAAGCTTCTATTTCACGTTAAGCGCTTTTCTTATGATTTCTGTTTCTATAATAGTAGCCTGCGTAAGCTGACGGGACTAGCTGGCGATGCTGTAGTTTTTTCGCTCCTCTTTCTATTTATGCAAACGAACAAGTGCCAAGCTTCATATTCGAGACCTTTAGCATCAGATTTTTCATGGGAAACCGCAAACAGCAAACTGCAGTTTGCAGTTACGCGTTTGCAGTTTCAAGTTCCCGGGATTCAAATTTTAGCAAGGCGTTCATTGTTTTAGTACCTCCATGTTGTTTTTCGTCGAAGTCGAATTCATCGCTTTTTTCGCCCAAAAAACATAAAGAATTCATTGACTCGAGATCAAAAATCTAACTAGCACATCTCAGGTGGACATAGGAAGCTAGTTCGTGCCTTTAAACGTGAGGCTGTACAATTTTTAGTGGCAAAAGACATTGCCGTACGTCACTTACCGCTGGAAGCCCTTCCTGCCGTTTAAACGTGAACTGCAAACGGCAAACGCGACCAAGACCGTGGTCCCATGACATTCTCGGGTTTGCGGTTTGCGTTTTTCCATGAAAAACCTGATGCTAACGGTCTCCATTATCATCTACGCGCAAACAAAATCTTTCAAATTTTTCCCGCTATAGATCAAGGCCAAAGTAACCGATACTGCCTCTGGGTACTACAACAAGTTGAAAAACCAGAGGGCCGTGAAAATGATGAGCGTCAAGTCTAAGACTTTGTCAACGTTTACTGAGATCCCTGCTGAGCCGGCTTTGCCACCTTACAGTACCAATGAGGAGGACACACAGGAAACAGAATCAGAGGGTGATCACCACGAGAAAGGAGCTCTTTGTAGAGTCCAGAACTTAGGGGGGAAAGTGTCTCGAAGGGGAATGAAAAAGCTGATGGCGATTATGCCATCCAAGGTAAGCGTTGATACAATATGACATAAGGTTTCTCTATTAAGTGTGTGCGCACACACTTTAAAGTGGAAGCTCTGTAGACAGGAGGGTCAGAACTTCAAAAATCTATTTGCCTACATTTTCTATAAAACAAAGCTGTATCAAACGAGAGCCAGCCTCACGCAGGTTTTATGGATAGATGAACGTCTTGTCAAAACCACATGAATAGTTCTTGTCCTGCTGAAACCTGGACCCCTCACTTTTGAATAGCCATTTTGTCTTTATGGCTATAGAGTTTTACTGTATATATCTGTCTATCGCGTCTGATCAGCACACCATTTTCTTTTCTTAGTTTTTAAGTCCTAAAAGTTTAAGTACAACGTTGCTTCTTCATTAGTCAAAAGTGAGATCACCTCGTGCGCAAGAGTCACATGGTGTCTTGGTTCTTTATAGTTACACCAGTAGCACTCGCTTTCGATATTGCGACAAAAAGTCCCCCCATATTCCGCAATCCCGTCGGTAATTATCGACTTATCCCGACCTTGAACATACGGCTCTTAAAAAGGGCCTTAAAGGTCATCTAGATTCTCTTATTAGTGGACCCCTGGCAGATAGTTAGATGGAAAAAGCTTAATCGCCGCGTTATGTTGAAGGATAAAGTGGAGTCTAACTAAAACTTCTCTTCCCCAGTCTTTTAAAAAAATGCAACTCACTTTCCTTACCGGATCTTGGTTCTGTAAAACGACATTTCCCGAATGCCGTATCGTGAAATCCTCAAGTCCCGTGTGTCTTCGTAATTCTGTTTTCTAAATCTCCCACCTTCATCCCGAATACTGACCTTAAAAGACCTAATGGAGACCTTTTCTAAGTGATTAAGTACAGTCGAACGCCGCTTTACGGACACTCGCTTGATACGGACAGCTTTTTATTACGGACAGTTTACTTTGTCCCTGGGGATAGTCCATACATTTTCTGTAAATTAAACCCACTTAATACGGGCACCCGTTAATGCGGACAATGGAAACTTGTTTCTTGGCCAATGAACAGATTTTCTTAGAGAACTTAGTTAGATGCAAGTGGAACCAGCCAGATCTACCATATTTGCTGGAACGCCTGGCCTTATCCAAGTTTGAGACTCTCTGACTGGAGTCAGTGAAGACGCTTATCACAAGTGCACCATCAAAGTCATGTGAAATTGATCCGCTCCCTACCACCATCGCTGAAGAGTGTCTGTATATCATCCATGATAAATCTCTCCCTCGAACAGGGTCAGCTCTCTGATGTGTTGAAAGGGGCGCCAGTTCATACCTCATCTAAGAACATCCAAAAGCTGCAACTTATTCAGAATTTCGCCTGCAAAATTATCTGGGGCGCTCGGAAATATGACCACGTGACGCCATTACTTGACGAACTCAACTGGCTTCCAGTTAGCAAGATGCTCAAATTCAGAGACGCTGTTATGGCTTGTAAGTGTGCCAGCGATTTAGCTCCTGAATACCTATGTGCTGAGTTTAAAAAACGATCTTCTGTACATAATCGCACAACCCGTAATAATGAGAAGTTCGAAATCCCATTATTCAGGTCAGCCACTGGCCAACGTACCTTCGCCTATAGAGCAATATCCCTGTGGAACACGTTAGACGAAGACCTTAGAAACGCTACAACTGTAAAGGCCTTTAAGAAAGCCCTGAAACTTGTAATGAATGAAAGTTCGAATGACAGTTAGCATTTAACAATTATTAGCTTGTTAGATATAGCTTGCATTTATATTTGTAAATAGGTACTGAAAAACCTTTTTTTGGGAGTATTTATTAAAGTTTTAATTTAATTTTAACGAAGCTAAAGACATCTAGTCTGGAACTTGAAAAAAAGAACTATCGGCCCGTACGCAATCTCCAGTTATTGTCTAAGCTTCCGGAAAAGCAGCTGCTCAACAAACAACTTCTGACATGATGACATATGGGCTTTTCCCTTAGTCGCAATCAGCCTGCCGGCTATTCCACAGTACCGAGACTGCCTTATTACGTGTTTTTAACATCCTAATTAACATGAATGAAAAACAAGTAATGTTACTGGTCTTCCTGGATTTAAGCGCTGCATTTCATACCATTGATCATTCAATACTGCTTCAGCGTGTCGAAAATAAGTTGGGATTAGTGGATCAGCTTTAGAGTGGTTCCGCTCCTACTTATCTTGTCTATTCAACAAATTGTAATTGATGGTTTAAGATCTGACAAGTTTTACAGGCATTTTGGTCTACCAAAGGGCTCTTGTCTGGGTCCCTTGTTGTTTTCCATATACACAAGCTCTCTGTTTGAAATCGTCACCAAGCACCTACCTTCCGTACACTGCTACGCTGACGATACGGAACTTTACCTCGCTTTTAGACCAGACGACCGCGCTACTCAAGATTCGGCTGTTGTCGCCATGGAAGCCTGTATACAGGACGTACGGAAGTGGATGATTACTGACAAGCTAAAGATCGATGACGGAAAGGCTGAGTTCACCCTCATTGGCACCAGAGCACAGTTAAAGAAGGTGGATATTGGCAAAAGAACCGTCGGAGACTCGCTCATCTACCAACAAGGGTGCAATAAGAAATCTAGCATGTGGATGTTTCCAGCGCTGCAGTACACCGGACGCGATGATTTGTAGACATCAATTTCAGACTATTTTCAGGCATCAAATTAGTTACACAGAGAACGATTTTGATTAAGTACAGGAGCCCATGACCCATGACCATGACCATGACCATGACCATGACCATGGGCTCCTGATTAAGTAGTAAATAAATGAGCAATTTTTGAGTGTTCCTGTAGACTTAGTCAACGGATTGACGACTTTGTGAAAGTTAGAGATGTTTAATTTGACGATGCTTATGTCCTAATGTCCTAATTTCCCTAATGTCGTCCTTTAGTACTTTGTTCTTATAAAAGGTGTTTTTTAACTTTAGCAACATGATCCTCTTTTAAAATACGGACACCCCGTTAATATCGGCAATTTCTAAGGCATTCGGTTCCCGTATTAACGGGGTCTGAGTGTAACTGACTTTATCTGAAATGACCATTTCCTGCTAGCTAACATGTCTTTGGTGTATGCAGCACTGATCCTTAGATAAAAAAAGGGCCATCATGGAGTAACTGAGCAATCCAAGAGGTTAATTCTATTTTTGTTCTTTTCTAGTTGACAGGATTGGGGGGAAAAGCAACCGACGTGGTTGGAGAATCATCTGGTGCTGACAAAAAGGTCTTGAGTAGTACTAATTACATTCCCAACATGACTACCATACTTTCGGGAGGAGAAATCGCCTCGGCTAAAGGAATAATTCCTGATATTAGTAAGGTAGGTTACCCTCTATGTTGTTGCAGACTTCATCTAATGGAACCACCTGTTGTGTCTATTGTAAAACATGTACAGCGAAATCGGTAAGTAAGGAAGATGCAATCTTAAGCACAGCCCAATTAGACACACACCTAAAAATTGTAATACAGTGGTAAAACACTTCAAGGAACCGGAGGGCTGAAAATGTTAGCTTTTCTTTAAATCCATCAACAATAGATGGGTGTGGTGAAGTTTCCTGGTGAAACTGAGGAAGCCGCAAGAGAGCCTGGAAGGCAACCATGACAACCCTGTGGGCGGCAACCACCAGGCACCGTCACACTGAGAATCTTAGTGGAGAAATTCGCAGATGCTGGAGGGCAGGGAGTGCTGAGAGCAAAAATGGCTAAAGCTACAGCACGCTTACCTCAGCGAAAGCGCTGTAAAATTACTAGAGCCCTACTAAAGCCCAAGACCACCCCACATATGATTTGTGACGGAGCCACCTGTCCAGCATTGTCTCCCAGCAAGATGGGTGTGTGGAAGGTGACTGGTGAAACTGAGGGAGCCGCAAGCGAACTTGCAAGGTAACCATGACAGCCCTGTGAGCGGCAACTACTGAAACCAGTCTACAGGTGCTTCGAGGAAAAAACCAGGGACCGGGAACAAGGGGATTCACAGGACCTGGTTCCCCCAAAGGCATCAAACACCAACCCCAAGCTCCCTCACAATAAAACAAACGAAAAGCTACTCAACACTGAAGAAGACTAGAGGCCCTAATACCTACCTAAAGCACGTTCGCCAGAGCCGAGGCGCAAGCTGTCGTTAGGTGCAATTCAAACTGACACGACTAAAGGGGAGGCTTACACTGCTGACAGGATGCGTAAAAAGGGACACCTGTCAACCAGTGACCGCCGTACGAAAGACACTAGGAAATTTAAAATAGGTCACTACGGTCGTCTGGGACGGTTGGATAGATGTTACGTCACGCAAAACACGCGTGACCTTTTACCGTTGTCCTTCTGGGACGCTACGTTTTCGCCGGGTTTCTCGTCGTAAAGACAACGGTGAAACCGATAACAGTTCATGCATATGTATTGACACTTTTCTTCTAAAACGCAGTAGCCAATGGGTTAAATATGCGTTGGCTTGTGTTTACATTGATTTACCTATCGGTGAAATAAAAAAAAAGCGAAAATATCTGTGTTCATTCATAACTTAGCTGGCGGCCGCGTGGCGACTGCTTGTTTTCTTCCCAGTGTTGTCCATGGCAGAGGAAAATTGCCGAAAAGAAAGGTACGGCCCAGTTCAAACGGCGATCTTTTCATGTACCGAACTTAATACCTATTTAGGTCGACCCAAATGATATAAGTTCGAGGTTGATTCAGACGTCGAAATTAATAAGTCGAACTAGATTCATTTTCACGATGTTCAAGGTCTCGAATGCTTTAAACAAGTGAAAATAAATGTTAGTAATTTGTGCATTAGTTTCGGCACATGAGAAGTTCGACGTTTGAACTGGGCCTAACAGTTATGATTGCAGCCTCCTTTTTTTATTAAGAAAAGATTTCTTTAACTAAAAAGGTGTTGGCTTAGGAAAGGAAAGTTCAAATAAAAACATCGACTAGTTTTTTAAAACTAGCTGATTTAATTTGTTCCCTTATTCTCCTGACTGGTATTCTTCGAAAAAAACAAACTCTTCAGTAATGGAGCCTTTTGCGAAAGAAATTACAAGCGAGTTTCGCACATAACTTCACCGTCCTCTGTTTTGTTGTCCGATCTTATATTGAAAAAAAATCGCGCCCGTAGACGCATCCAACCGTCCCAGCCTACCATAGTGAACTTAAATTCCCTACGACGAAGAAGAGGCCACCAAGAAACAAGCTTAACCAGCTTTTCTTGAATCGGACACAGAACGTTCTTGCTGGAGGAGAAGCAATCTGGAAGAGCAGCAAGTCCAGAAGCTTCAGACCACCGACGCAAATTTGGACCTCCAAGTGATCAACTTCCCTCGCTCACGAAGTTAGAAGCTGTCGCTTGAAAAAGATCCTTGGACACCATCCCCTTCAGAATCCTGCATAGTTAATCTGTAAGCGAGGAGCGGGACAAAGGTCTTGCCATCTTGAAAGAGGAAAATCGGGCCAGCTCCGTTTCCTTTAATTCTTAGATAAACCATAAGCAACCTAATAACGCAAAGCGGGGTATTGCCTTTGCCAAAATAGATCAGACAACCCTTGTGAAAACTCAGTTTTGGAGGCCTTCAGACTAACACGAAAACATGTGGGCGCATCACAAGAGTAAATACCAATGTCCGCCAGGCTCAAGTGAATTTCAGGCGAGAAACTGCCCAGATTCGGAACAGTGAACACTGAAGAGCAAAGAAAACCAAAATATCTGCAGGTTACAAGCCGTCCAAAACATGGTGTGATCTTTTTTGCTCAAATCTAGAGCCTTGAAAATAAGTAATAGAGTCTGATCTGTGACTTGGTGACGAGTAGACCCAGCTTCTTCTACAAATCGCTTGATGCCGCATAACATTCTCTACACCCCGAGGTAATCCACAGGGGAGTCCAGAAAGGCTTGTTCGATATGAAGAGCGAGGACGGCAGACAAGTGAACTTTTACGCGCCAAGTGACAAACAAACAGAGCGTCCATTCATCCTCCCTGCACGGAGACCCGTCTGGGCCTAGTTGTCCCAGTTGTGCGCCGCACCCCACGAATCTGTTCTGGACAAATGCGTACGAGTTGCGGTTGGTACGAGCTGGCACCTCCATTAATAACTGTTGGCACTCCATCTCGAAGGTGGATTGATCAAAGTCGAGAAAGGGAATCTGAGAGGTGGTGAATGTTCAACATCATCCATTCCACCATGCCTGCGACTGAATTAAAAATAACGGGGGTTAAATCTACGAAGTACTTGCCCCGCCATTTCATCCCTCCAAAAAAATAAACGATCAGCCGGTGCACGGCAATATTGCGGCATGCTGCCTTGATGTAAAAATTAGCTCTTAACGTCCCAGGCCCATACTTTGATACCATATCTATAATCTGGTCGACCGTTATGTATTGCATGGAAAAAACCCTCTGCCTTTATACCATCATTCACACTGGACCAACTGGGGAACGTTTCCGGGCTGGCCTTTTATAGTTATGACCCGAAAACTGTGAACACGAAGATTAGGGAGAGGAAGGGATGCAAAAAGATCTGCAACTCGGTGAAGAGCGACCTCCTTAGCAAAACAATCGTCAATAACGGCAGGGTGCTGACGAGCGGAGAGTATGTTCGATTTACCAGGCTAAAGCCTACAATTATGCTGGAACTCCAACCGAAAAACTGTGCTGAAGCCCATTATGGACATACCCGACTGCCTCTTGATCGGGGAGCTCAATTAATTCCCTCGCAAATTCCGCGACTTCCAAGGAACTCACCACCGAGACTAGGTGGAAGGAGGGAGACACTAAGGGAAGAATCAAGAAAAGGGAATACTCTGAGTGAAAGGCAAACACTTTTAAGAAAATCTCTACAACACGGAAAAAGCTTCGCAAGCAGGTGGCAAATTACAAACCAAAAACATGATATGAACAATGAATTGATCAGAAGTAAAACTGGGCTAATTTCCCGCATAGAATCACAACACCAGACCATTATTAAGTCACGGTAACAAGCTAACAACAAGGAACCTCCCATGGGGTGAGAAGGGGTACTAAGCTAAAAAATGCGAAAACCGAGAGAATGTAACAAATCAAAACCGCAAAAATACCGGATTGACAAACACAAGAGGACAACTGAAATCAATGATACAAAGCAAAAAACAAATAATAAAACAAAAAGGGGGCAGTGTCCCTAATTTACAGATCAGTCCATACGAAAACACTCTAAGTACGTTGGGACTTGTCTCCCGAGGAGGAACCTGCAGTTGACGAGGGGGAAGCGACTAGAATGGGCAAACAATTACGCGATGAGAACCAGAGCAGGAGGAGCAGGGGCGCGTAACGGCAGATAGAGAGAGGCAAAGTGCAACACCCCCTGTTCCAGAACTTGCAAACCACTAAGCTTCCCGAAGAACCCGCAGGTTCCCAGTCAGGAGAATTGGTAAACTAGGGCGTACGAGCAGAGGCTCCAGCCGCATCGAACTAAAACACGGCCCGTCCGTGAGCTTAGTTGCCGCCGCGTGCTCGCGAAAGGCGTGATCGTAAGCCAACCCTACACTACTGCTAAAAATAAATGCCGATGCGTGCGGGGGATTTTCGGGCTATGACGTCAACATCAAACGATTGCCGAGGAGAGGCTGGGACTAAGGCTCTTAAAGCGGTAGATTCGAGGCAACAGACCGCACAGATCAACGTTCTTGCCGGCCACGATCTGCGAAACAAATTTCGCCAGAACTGGAGAAACGCCGGGCCCATCAACAAACAGTTGATCAGCTACGGCCAGAGCAGAAGGTTGAAGCACGCTTGCAACAGCTGCGTGACCTGAGTTCCGAGAAGGTCCGGCGAGAAAACTGGCCGCGCAAGATGCAAGTGAAAGAGCGGACATCGCGGCGGCAGCGAAGGTCGAAACGAACCACGGCACAATAATAGACGAGGATGAAACAGCCCTACTTGCACATGGTTGGGCAATAATCGTCGCTGGAGTCAGTGAACATGGGGACACCGCGGGAACGCCCCCAATTGTAGCAGAGGCAATCGAACTACTCCCTGGAGACAGTGTCGAAGACAGAACTTTGGCCCGTTCGGCCGCCATGGCAGCTTGAACTGTCTGCGAGATTAACGCCACGATCTCCGAATCGGAGATCGTGGCGTTAATCCCGCTGTCATCGAACAGCGACTGTGATCTGTTATACGTCGAACACGAGGTCATATATTGAAAACGGAACCGTACACGGTACTGCGACGACACAACAGGAGATTCAAACACAGCAAAACCGGCTAAATCTACTGCACGCGCAGGCAAAGTGATCGAAATGATTGACCTGAACAAAAGCGCTGTAAAATTACTAGAGCCCCGCTAGAGCCCAAGACCGCCCCACATACGATGAGTGATGGACACCGCTGACCAGCATTGTGTCGTGTTTAACCTCGCCTAAATTATATTATATTCAAAAAGGGCCTTACAGGTGGTCTAAGTTTTCTTATAAGCAGACCCCTGGCAGATAACAGGATGCGAAAACTGTATTCACCGAGTTGCGGCAAAGAGAGTTATGGGGAGTAAATCTGAAAGAGCTTTTCCCTCGTCTTAAGAAAATGCTGCTCACTTTCCTTACCGGATCTCAAAAGGAGGAATTTCATGTATCCCATGATGCATCGCTTCATAAGATATTACCAAGCTTTCGAACGCACGTGATCCTATCGATCGGTTCAACAGGGACATGACAGTTGAACAACAGTGGAAAGCGAAGTCAAAGTGTGTGTCTTGGTCGCCGATATTAGTTAACTAGCCGTACGATAGCAGGGCAGTCTACGCAATTGTTCTTTGAAACTAGCGAGGAAGGTCTTTGCTTAAGTACGTCTTGTTTAAACGGACGTTGATAAAGCTCTCCATGGATTAACAAGCGATTTCCATGTACTTGTCTTGAAATAAATATATATTCTAGGTGTACTATTTCTCTTCGGCTTGTTTGTGATCGCGGTGCTCATTGTCAGTTCCATAGTGAATTCGTCAACCGTACTTTGACTGCACATGCTATTACTTCAACAAGCTCGGCTTATACAGTCGAAAATACCGAGATCGTCAAAGTACAAAGTGAAGTCTATTCAAAGGAAAGGCATAGTTCAAATAAAAACAATAAAAATAACAGAGACATTTTTCGTAACACAACACCGGTTAAGCATCATTGTCAAACATAAACATAAATAAGCTTTATTACATGTTAGAAATGGCAAAATACGTACACAAACACACTCACTCATTCACTACAATGGATCCTAAGAGAACTATCAAAATGTCTTCAAAGGTTTTATACGCCGGTTGAGGTCCTACAGCATACCATTCCATGACATTTGCTGGTCTGTATATTTGAAGTTCGCCCCGCACGTTTGCAACCGGAAGCCACAATGAGAAACCAATTTTACCTAAAATAATGAAACAAAAAAGGTTTTAATACTAGAAACCACTGAAATTAAACAGTCATCGTACCTTCAAGAGCTAATGTTGCTATTTTGATTAGAGAGAAAGGAGCGAACTCAAGGGGAAAAAAGCCCCATCTTCGCAGGACTTAGCATAAAGAAATTGAAACCTTCGACTTGCATTTTAGCGAGAAAGGGCAGAAAATGCGATATTTCAACACGGTCAAACCCATAAAAATCGCGAGGTCGAAAGGCCGCGAACGTTCTTTCCCACGCGAAGAGAAGGAAATTAGTCGCGAAGCATCATGGGATATACGTAATTCTCCCCTTTGCCGATGTCCTTATTCTGGACCCCCAACGGACATAACGAATAACCAGAAGATGCGTTTCAAATTCCTCTCAACATGATTGGCAATGTCTTTTAATAGGCCAATCATGGCGCGTACTCAAATCCTGGTACACTGGTGGTGGTCCAGAACGCGGATTTCGGCGCTGTTTCGTAGACGGACTGAAGTTTCGCAGAGGGACCTGCGTCTGTGGCGCAGGCTATTCGGAGTCCTTACTTGGAAACCAATGGAAACCCTTGTCAAGGTCTGAAGTAACTAACTTGACTGGAAATGAACATTTCATGCTGGCAAATATATCCTTAGTGCCGAGTGCAGTAAATAATCCTCAGGTAAATAAAGCATTGACAGTGACCAAGCGGTCCAAGCGAGTGACTTTATTTTTTGTTCTCTTCTAGGTGGCACGATTAAAAGCAACTGACGTGGTTGGAAAATCGTCTGCCGCTGGCATAAAGGTCTCAAGTGTTACTAACTACATTCCCAACACGACTCCCATGCTCTCGAGAGGAGTAATCTCCTCCGCCAAAGGAGTGATTCCTGATATTAGTAAGGTAGGTTACCCTATGTGTTGTTACAGATTACATCAAATTAATTCTGCAATTATTGCAGAAAATGATCGTAAATTAAACCTCTATTAAGCGGGCGCGGCCACCTTTTGGCTATCCCGACCAGAGTTTTGCTATTGTTGTCACTTGTATTTAGAGGCCATCGAGTGCTTGATACCCTTAGTTTGGCTTTATTTTAACTACATGAAGGAAGCTATAACCTGAAATAGTAGGTGACCATTGATTGTGGACCAATAATGCCGTTGCTACCGCTTGTCTGTTTTAGATTTAAATTCTGTCGAACCTCTATTAAGTGGCCAACCTCCATTTGTGGGTACCCCGAGGGTGGCCGATTAATAGTCTTAATTACTTTTGAATAACGAGAGGACCACGCCTGTTTAGACCAGCATTAAGTACATTTTCCTGCTAAGAGGATTAGAACCCATTTAAGAACAGACGTAACCAAATTCGCCAGTAGGCGCCACATATAAAAGACCCTTTTGAGGCTAATCCTGAAGGTTGAGGCTGCTTTTCTGAACGCTTATTTTACTTAGCCTCTCGATTAGGTAACTCTAATGCACAATTTCAATGTCTTTGGCTATATTTAGTATTGCAATTATTACTGCCATAGTTGATAGAGTGGAATGGTTATGAAGCCCGTCAGACTCCTCTCTTATATGTTTTTGTGGACCTGACCTGTTCCATATAGAATTCCCATCATTTTGATTCTATTAACTAATACAAATGTCGGCTCGCATTAAATTATTCAGTGACAATTTGTGAACAGAAAACGAAATAAAACAACGTTTGCCTCCTTTCTTAACCAGTCTTCTCTACTATAATACTGTGCAAGGAACGGTGAATCGACTAACGTCATACCTTACGTTTAAGAACGCGATTGAGCGCTATATAGGGTACGATTCGATTGAATTCCTTTATTTTACAAATCTCTTTCATCATGATTTCTGGACCATTTAAAATCTACAGACATCGGAATACCCTATTTCGAGCAGTCTTCTAGATATTGCAATGCAAAGAATGCCAAAACAAGTGATTTCTACATTTTATTCCATTTATTTTTATTCCGGAATACGGTCAATCGAACACGACCATAATTTCTTTTTGTTTCGATTCTCAGGAGAATTTCTTCAAAGGTATGCCTGCCTCGATATCAGGGACAGCAGTAGGACTGCTCTTGAAAGCACAAGGCAATCTCATTGGTCAAATACTCATTTCATCTCATTTGATGCCGGAATTAATCCTTTTCAAGCTCCCCACTCAATGGATAATTTCCCATATCTTATCTTCCTTTTTCATTCAGTGGATTATGGCTCTCTTCAACACATTAATAAGCTTGATATTTTCAGGTAATAATTGAAAGCCAGCTGAAAGAAAAAAGTTGGTGTATTTGGGTAACAATGAGCCCTTTACTGCTTGATCATCACATGGTTCAAATTAACCTCGCTCACAAACAACACAAGAGTGACCTTCAAAAAGAAGGAACATGCCATTTATGTAACTCCCTTGTTTTCCCTCACTGCGTTACTTGCTTCACATTGAGGTGTTCTTTTACCACGTGACTATTTAGCTGAAAGGGGGCGCTTTGAGGAAGTTAGGAAAATCACACCTGAGAATTGATTTAAGAAAGGGGTGTGTCGTCACATTCGTATGAAATGTTTTTGTTAAGCGTGTATGGTCTATGACATATTTTCCTACGTTGTATTTAATTAAATGAGCGTCCCCTTATCTGATCTTTTTTGATAGTATTTATTTAAGACATTTATTACAATATTACAGTAAAATGATTACAAAGGGAAATAATTTTCATACTCACAATTATATTTATACATTACAGCCAAAACAGCCGCGCAATGGCTAAATAATTAATAAATACCTAATTTTGTAGATGAAAAAAATTAACAATCAATAAGTGCTGGTGAATAATATATGTTAACCCCTGATCTGATCAATAAGTGCCTTGCTGGTAAATGAAATTGAAAGACATGGGGATATATATCGTCAGGGGCAGTTATCGGAGGGACAACATCATCGCCATTTGTTTAGTGTTTTGCTCGTCACACCAATGATCTTTAATTGTGCTTTTTTTCCACGTGGGGTCATTTATGCTAAATGAAGAACTAGATGAACCATTTAGTGAGCCTGTCTTTTGTAATTAAAATACTTTTATTGTGATTGCCCTGCTATGCAGATTTGTTACACTCCTAAATACAATATTTACGGAATTGCTGTTGAAATTAGATTACGGAATTGGATCAGTGTGCAGATTATGTACATAAAGATTACCTTTGTTTTGTATATAGTACATAAGTCTTCCCTAATTGTGTTAAAAGTTTTTTTCTTTAGGGCACTATTTTGTACAGCAGGAGCTCAGCGTCCATATACGCACATACGCTCGTGCGTACAGCTGAAATCTGAAAAAAAAATTGTTTGCTAAAGGATTTTTATAATAAAATTAGAATGACTGTTAAATTTTTCACATGATATCTGTGTCTTTGTCCATTGATTCCCTTGATTTTACGTGCAATACATGTCAACCACAGTCCATCCCATTTAATTGTTTAAACGATGTAGACTTTTCAAAGACTATCGGTTCAACAGACACATCTATTGAACAAGTGACAAAAAAAAATTAATAGACTTCAACAAAATATCATTTATCCTTTTAAACTCAATTTACAAAATGATAACCATTTGTTAATTGACGATATAATCGCGTCTCCTTAGAGGGGTTAATGATCAAATTTCAGAATGTGATTATCACCATGTAGATAAATCTAAACAGTTTGTGACAAGATTTCATACGAACGATAATAACTTTTCATAACTGCATCTGACTATTGGAAGCTTGTTGAATAAGCTAGATGACACCCAACAGCTTCAATCGGACATAAACCACAAATTGACCATTATAGGTATTAGTGAAACATGGCTTAACGATAAATCAGAATCTTTGATTTAACTGCCTGACTACTTATTTATGAAAAATTTAAGGAAAAAGAAAACAGGGGGAGGCGTAGGGATGTTTATATCAACAAATATGAATACAAAGTTAAGCAAGACTTAAATTTGTTTAGGGAAGATATTTTAGAAAGTGTTTTTACAGACATGAGTATTAATGGTAAAAAAAGTACCATTATAGGGACAATTTATAGACCACCCAATGATAAATGCAACGAATTTTGAAATAGAATTTTCCAGAATCCTTAAAAAAAATGGACACGGAGAATGAGTTATGCTTGCTTATTGGAGACTTAAATATCGATTTACTAGAGTATGGATGCAATAATTATGCTAGCAGATTTTTCGAGCAGCTCTCTAGCTCTCATTTTGATTCAACAATCTATAAGCCTACCAGAACAACACTAAACTCAGCCACATTGATTGATAACATTTTTACAGATGGCATTGTTAAGGACTACACTGCTGGACTTTTGTTTAATTATCTTTCTGATCATATTCTACATGAAAAGCTAATTCTGTACATTCGAGGATTGACTCAGTTGTAAAACGAGTAATAACAAAGAGCAATGATTTACTAAGAAACTGCAAACCGAATTGAAAATGATAAACTGGCATGACCTTATGAAATCAGATGATCTCGAAGAATCATTTAACACCTTGGAAGAGGTGTTCATCAAATTGTATTACTGTATTCGAGAAAAAACTATGCGCCAAAAAAAAATTCAGAAATGAAAAGAAGCCCTAACTTAATAAAGGTTTTTTGAAACCAACTAGTAGAAAAATAACTTGCTAAAAATGTCCGGAAAAACCAAACAGTGAGTCATGTGAAAAATCCAAATAAATTAAATCGCCTAAAGAAGATTTTGAAAAAAACCTATCATGAGAGAAAATTTGATAATATTTAAGGCAATCTGAAACAAACGTGGAAATTAATAAATAACTTAACAAAAAGGAATAAACAGGAATCCATAAAGGGACAATTTATATTGACAACACACTTGTTAACCATAACAAGCAAATTGCCAATTCATTTAATGAATGCTTTGTTAGCGTGGGCCCAATCCTTGGGAAGAAAATTTAGGTACAAGCTGATGCTACATTTAAATCTTAATTGAACTGAGGCTACGTGGAATCGATGATGCTTTCTCCAACATACGGGAAAGACGTAGAAGTAATTTAAAATCTGAATCCTAGGAAAAGCTGTGGTTACGACGGCATTCTTTAAGGGGTACTGAAGCATTTAGCAACTGAACTACATCTGTAACAGTTACTAATGATATAACCATAATTATGATTCAGATTTCGACTTGCAATTTATATATTGTATGTAATATATCAAAAACGAGTGCGAGGGTTTCACCAGGGGTTCCAAACACCGAGAAACAGATGAAAGCACGAGGCCAAAGGCCGAGTGCTTTTATTGCGACTGTGATTTTCAGTGTCACGCCATTCAAAATAGATCAAAATAAAAATCAAAACCGTTCAATAGATAAAGTCCGGAATCTGGGAAATGAAAAGAGGTAAATATAAAAAGAGCCTCTCCAAGATTCAGGCCAGAAGAATATTCCGTATACAAGATATCCGAAGAAATGTTTTACCCAAATTTATAGAGATTTGTACGGAGACGCCATGCTGGTGCCCACCTGGATGGGCACCAACATGGCGGACGGAAACCAACAAAAACATCTGTTACCGAGTTTTGGTACCAAAACGTGAATTTATTCCTCAAGGAACTCATAAACATTAAAATAATACTTTTTATAACACATGAACTGTTTAGATAGCAAAATTCCCCGAAATACGTCACTTTTTAAACCTATATGACAGCTCTCTCGCCCGTCATGTAAATGCCACGTCACGCAGTAGCTTAGATATTCAAGCGTACCCTATCACAAGACCAAGAACCATTTTGAAGCGAAAATTTGTATGAAAATTAGTTTTCAGCTGCTCTAATACATCGTGAAAGTAAAATCGATAGTTTTGTAGTTTGAATTTTAGTGACTTCATGTGAAAACCAACAATTGTTTCGAGTTGATTGCGACCCCTGATGAAACCCGAAGCACGAGTTTTTGAGATGACTTCTCAAAGGAAACAATAAAAAATATACAGTGATACATTTTTTTGCTATTGTCCTCCCCAAATGAAAGGACAATAATTTATGCAGCGATGCAATTTTCCCATATTACGTAACATTACTTCAACATGCATGATTGATTGTTTTGGTGTAATTGGTGCCTGACCATGAGTGAAGATGGAGATGCAAGATGTAGGGAGCCGAAAACGGTTTACGAAGAACGCGAGTTCGTCGTAAATGTTATTCTCTCGTCAACCAAATACAAGAAAAAATGGGCGGTAACAATTTTTGGCGAATGGCAAATTTCTCGGTCGGTTATAGCTTCCGTTTTAGATAAAGGAGGGCTCTTCAAAGGCTACGATTCACACAAGGTCGCACAGCTTTCTACCAGCATTAAAGAAATGGATGAAGTAACCTCGAATAACTGGCTTAGCAAGTGTGTGATGGAGGTGGCCAAGAAGTCGGGGGAGAGATATCCACCGAAGACCGTTTATGGAATAGTTTGTGGTATCCGACGCCATCAAGGTTAATTATGTCAAATAATATTCAGGTCATTTTTGGAATTGTTATTAACGATGAACTAATTTTTGAAAAATGCTCATTAAAATGCAAGTGTTTGATCTGAGATCAAAACCATGTTTGATCTCAGATCAAAACCCATAAGATTTTCATCTGAGTGTTCATTGGGTATCAAGGCTCATGCATGTGACCCAAATATGCCTCATTTATAGGCTGTTGCCCTCATGAATAATTAATGAGTTTGAGAAAGTATTGTGAAGGAGAAGAAATCTTGGACACCTTGGACTTTGATTGATTCTGCGTAATGTCAAACCAAATAAAAAATGTCAAAAATGTTTGGAAAATACGTGGAGAAAACGGTAGTAGCCACTGCCCGATAAGCACAGCCGTAAAGGGCGAATGGCGATTTCTATCGTTCAGGAACTGAAAACAGATGTCATATTACATGCAAAAATAAGGCGTAGGCCGAACGTCGAACTTTTCGACGAACCAAACTCTAATTTGAGTCAACGACCACCTCCAGTAAGCAACCGCGACCACTTTTTAGACCTTACGGTTAATGATTCTGAATTGTTTTTAACCTCTTGTACGTGACCACTTAGCCTGAGTATCAGGCCTTCCTACGGGGCTAGGGGAGAGGAGATTTTAGATGGGGGAGGGGGGATGGGGAGAAGAGAAAGGAAGGCCTGACACAAAACCATTCAGCAAATCGTGTGACACATCCAAAATCTGGATGTGGCAGTGATTGGATAACACACAATACCCCCTGAGAGCGATATACCCCGCAAGAGCGATCGGCAAGGAGACGGTCATTGAAATTTTTCATAGATATTTTGATTTCATGTTACCGGTATGTGATACTTTTACAGACAGAGACGCAGAGAGGAATTCAAAAAGGCCCTAGAGGGCGCTCTCAAGTTCTTTCCTGGAATAAAAATAAAACCCGAGCAAGAATTGTGTTTTCAAGGCCTCTTAGTTTAAAGGAAAGATGTACTCGAAGTAAGGAAAAGCCTCATATACCATCTCCTGCCGAAACTATGTCCGAGTATTGGTTTCACAAGACCGGGACAAAGAAGACGATATCAGTGTTTCAGATATCTAAATTCAGATTTACAACATCCTGCCGTTAAAAGGGTATTGTTACTGTAAATGAAAATAGAGCGAGGTAGCCACGTATTGAGATAGCCGCGGGGATAGCCGACAGCACCAATGCTTTTAAAAAGCTTGACTTTGCTTGTTGCGGTTACGATAACGTACGTGACTGGAATTCGTTCGCTTCCTCCTCCAAAATTTTCTCACTTTTGAAACGTCTCAAGCTCAAGCGGGCGCCATCATATTTCGCCAACGGGATTGACCTTTGCTATAGGTTCTCACTTGTTTTGAACTTGTAACAGCTTTCACGAGCTCTCTCTGAAGTGGTGGAATCTGCTGCTGCTTAATAATTTCTAGCCGTAGGGTTTTCACCATCGCACCATCCTATATATTCTTGCAGCTCCTTTCAACCACCCGAGAATACGGGGGATAACACCAGCCTTTTAGCTGCCAGACAAGCGCCTGATTTAACTCTGTAAACAAAGGCAATTTACAATTTTCCGGGCACGTTTGTTTACAAACAGAGCGTTGGCGATCTTACACTAGCACAATTCCTAAACCCTGTTATAATTCCTCATAAACGGCAGGTTTTGCATTACAAGTATTCGAAAACTCCTCATTGGAAGTTTCAGAAAAAAGCGAAATCGTAGCAACACAAGCACCGATGCTCGGCCAGACCGTTAAGTGAGATTTATTTTAGGCGAGCTTTTTGACACGTGAAGCTGACAACCCAATGACCGGAAGTGATTTTGATTGGATGGTATCGTATCATGCTGTGTGAGGGTGGAAGGCTCCAGTAAAAGCATCTGTGTCAGGCGTTTCTCTCGTTCACCTCTCTTCCTTTTTCGCTTCCATTTTTCCCCCTTTCCCCAGAAACGCCTGATACTCAGGCTAGTGACCACTTGACGGGACCCGTTCTCGGAAGAGAACCCCTCTGGTACGACCACCTCCCGTAAGCGAACACTCAGTCTTTGCATTTTGGGCGGTCGCTTACGGGAGGTTCTACTGTATACAAATTGTGTTTAACCAGGAGCCTATGACTAGGAGCCTATATTTCCCATACAAGCCCTTGGAGTCAACCATTTCCCCTAGAGTAGATTTATAATTGGAACGGTTCCCAGAGGAGTCTGTGTACGTCGACAGTGGAAAGAACCAATCACAACGACGTCATGACAGTGCTATTGTTCTTCATCAAACAAAAGGAAATACAGTGTTGACAGGCCAAACACAATCATAAGCCAGTGACTTTAAAAGAGTTTTGCTCTAGAAAATCCCTCAGACATTTTGTATCTTTTATTTTTAGCGGGTAGATTATACTGTGGAAAATTTTATATTTTGACTGTGTAAATCTTAATTTTGGCTGCTTGTATCACATTAAGAGGCCCTAAAGCAGGTCTGTTCCATGCATATTGATTGATTATTTCCTGCACCTTGATGTTTGTAGTTCTGACTGGATTCCGCGATTTTAGCACCGGTTTTCTTCAGCCATTTTTTTAAACGTTGAGGTTTTTATTTCGCCCCGGCATTGGTTTGAAATTGTAAAAACACAGAAAAATCAAAGATATTCGATACTAATGTTTTTAATTTACTCTACTCTTCTGTTTAAAATATAGTGAAACCTGTGTTAACCGGACTCGGGTCTTTCCAACCCGTTTTTAAAGTTCAACTCTTGAGTTATCAGAGAATCTCCAAGAAAAAAAAACAGATTATGCTTTGTTTTCCCTTTCGTGAGAGAATCGCCTTACGTCTTAGGCCTAGGCCAAACACCAAACTATTCACGCATAAGACGAACCAAATTTAATGAGTTAAGTTCATGAAAAGTTCGACGTCTGGCTGAATTAAGTTCGTCTGAATGAGTTTGGATCGTCCAACGCGTTCAATCCGTCTGCTACAGGTGGATGGTACGTCTGAAAAATCGTCTCCGGGACAAACGTCGATCTTCACATGCCACAAACTAACAAATTAAAAATCCGTATGAGAACGTATATTTAGCCTCGTTCGGCTAAAATTGCTTTTTGGTCTGCTATTGATTGGTTCGAGGCGTTCTACGTTCTACGTCTGACCCAACAGACGATCTAGAGGTTCCAACTGTAAGGCTTTGACTGGGAAAATTTTGGTGCGTGGATTGGCGGTCGCCTATGGGAGATGGTCGCACATGGAGGTTTGACTGTATGTCTTAGACTCATACGCTAGTAAGTGAGACATTTCAAATGCGCTAAAACGACGGGGCGGACGTACGGGCGGACAACCAAAATTTCTTCTATGCCTGCATAGATAACCAAATTTTCTAACCCATTTACTCAAATTTGTTTTTTTGATCCCACAAACTCACCTGACTGGAACGTTAAAAGGGAGAACGTGAAAGCGTCGCTTCGATGTTATCTAGATAGGTCCATTATCACCATTAACGAACGAAAACTTTAGCGGTGAAGCCGTTCTAATCAAAATACAATGTATTGCCCCAAGTTCTTGTTTGCTATTGAACAGTTATTGGATGAGGTTTTCGTGATATCCGGAATAATCAGGGTCGAGGTAAGTGTTTTCAGCCGAGCCGAAGGCCGAGGCTGATAACACTTACCGAGACCTTGATTATTTAGGATATCACAAAAACCGAATCTAGTAATTGTCGCACCGTCGCAACGAACCTGAATTGATACTGTTATTGGAAATCATGCATTGCGCGCGCAACCTACAGATTAGTGAGTTCTCTGCTAGCAGATAACTAACTAATCTGTAGGTTGCCCTGATTTCCAAAATTAGCCGTAGGCTTTTAGCCAATGAGAAGAACAATAATGAGTACAATGCAAAATAATGAGAGAAATATGTCATCAGGATACTGTCAAACCTCCTTTAAGTGACCACCAAAATTATGAATAGTTAGCAGGGGCGTGGTGTGAGATTTTGAAGGTGTACGAACGCGGGAAAAAAAGTTGTAACGCCGAAGGCGGCCCAACCTACGGGGATCTGGAGGCATGCTCCCCTACAAAGGTCTTGTATCTAGGGTCTCGGAAATGCCATTATTAGCGTTTTTCGCAGGACATTTCCAGCAAATTAATACTCAGGAAAATGTAGTAGTTAGTTGTTTATTTTACTCATCTCGAGTGCTGTCGGTAATGTGCATTGCTTACGCGAAAAAAAAGCCAGTGACGCAATCAGAATTATGGAATAATGAAAGGATAAAGGAGATATTAACACAAAGACACCAATATAGTGCGGAAAATGTATCAGTCATCCTGATTTAATGACAAAAAAATGCTTTTGCTGAAAATAAAAATAAATCTGTTTTTCCACATTTCATTGGACAGATCTAAAACCAACATCCTGAAAAGTGGTCGCGGTCGCCTATGAGAGTTAGCCGTTTACGCCAGGACCCAATACTAGGGATTGGTCTAGGAAGTTTTCAGTGCTGCGGACAAGTGGTTTCTTATGGGAGGTGGTCGCACATGGCAGTTCGACTATATTTTCAAGCGCTGATGGTTAAAACTAGGACCCGGGGTAGACTTCCGTATAAACGAGACTGGGATGATCGCTTAGGGGTGCAAATTGCAGAGTTTGATCTCACCAGGGCTGTTGGGGATGGATGAGATATCTCTCGGGTAATTGTTTAAAAATATATAAAGTCAAACCCCGCAGTAGTTGGTATAGTTGGTGTAGTATGTGCAGTTCGTGTAGTTGGTATAGTATGTGTAGTTAGTGCGGTATATGTAGTTTTGGAGTTACTGTAGTATGTGTAGTTGCTGTAGCAGGTGTAGTTAGTGTAATTGCTGTAGTTGCTGTAGTTACTGTAGTTGGTGTGGTAGCTGTAGTTGCTGTGGTTGGTGTAGTATGCGTAGTATGTGTAGTTGGTGTAGTTAGGGCAGTTGACGTAGTAGCTGTACTTGCTGTAGTTGCTGTAATTGGGGTAGTTGGTGTAGTTGCTGTAGTATGTGTAGTTGTTGTAGTTACTGTAGTTGGTGTAGCAGGTGTAGTTAGTGTAGTTGCTGTAGTTGCTGTAGTTACTGTAGTTGCTGTAGTTACTGTAGCTACTGTAGTTGGTGTAGTTGCTGTGGTTGGTGTAGTATGTGTAGTTGCTGTAGCTGGTGTAGTTGGTGTAGCAGGTGTAGCTAGTGTAGTTGGTGTAGTTGGGGTAGTTGGTGTAGTTGCTGTAGTTACTGTAGTTGGTGTGGTTGGTACATTTGGTGTGGTTGGTGAAGTTGGTGAAGTTACTGTAGTTACTGTAGTTGGTGTAGTAGGTGTATTTAGTGTAGTTGCTGTAGTTACTGTAGTTGCCGTAGGTGGTGTAGTTAGTGTAGTTGGTGTAGTTGGTGTGGTCAGCGTAGTTGGTTTAGTAGCTGTAGTTGCTGTGGTTACATTAGTTGGTACAGTTGGTGTAGTATGTGCAGTTCGTGTGGTTGGTGTAGTATGTGTAGTTAGTGTAGTATATGTAGTTTTGCACTTACTGTAGTATGTGTAGTTGCTGTAGTCGCTGTAGTTGCTGTAGTTGCTGTAGTTACTGTAGTTGGTGTAGTAGCTGAGTTGCTGTGGTTGGTGTAGTATGTGTAGTTGGTGTAGTTAGGGTAGTTGGTGTAGTAGCTTTACTTGCTGTAGTTCGTGTAGTTGCTGTAGTTGCTGTAATTGGGGTAGTTGGTGTAGTTGCTGTAGTATGTGTAGTTGTTGTAGTTACAGTAGTTGGTGTAGCAGGTGTAGATAGTGTAGTTGCTGTAGTTGCTGTAGTTACTGTAGCTACTGTAGTTGGTGTAGTTACTGTGGTTTAGTTGCTGTACTGGTGTAGTTGGTGTAGCAGGTGTAGCTAGTGTAGTTGCTGTAGTTGCTGTAGTTCCTATAGTTACTGTAGTTGGTGTGGTTGGTACATTTAGTGTTGTTGGTGTAGTTGGTGAAGTTACTGTCGTTACTGTAGTTGGTGTAGTAGGTGTATTCAGTGTAGTTGCTGTAGTTGCTGTAGTTGGTGTAGTTGCCGTAGTTGGTGTAGCTAGTGTAGTTGGTATAGTTTGTGTAGTTGGTGTAGTTGCTGTAGTTGCTGTAGCATGTGTAGTTGGTGTAGTATGTGTAGTTGGTGTAGTTGGTGTAGTTAGCGTAGTTGGTTTAGTAGGTGTACTTAGTGTAGTCTGTGTAGTTGCTGTAGTTGGTGTAGCAGCTGTAGTTGCCGTAGTTGCTGTAGTATGTGTAGTTGGTGTAGTTGCCGTAGTTAGTGTACTTGGTTTAGTATATGTAGTTGGTGTAGTAGCTGTAGTTGCTCTAGTTGGTTTAGTTACTGTAGTTGCTGTAGTTGATGTAGTTAGTGCATTTGGTGTATTTAGTGTAGTTGGTGCAGTTGCTGTAGTTGCTGTAGTTGGTGTAGTTACTGTAGTTGGTGTAGTAGCTGTAGTTGCTATAGTTGCTGTAGTATGTGTAGTTGCTGTAGTTGGTGTAGTTACTGTAGTTACTGTAGTTGGTGTAGTATATGTAGTTGCTGTGGGAACTGTAGTTGCTGTAGTTGGTGTAGTTAGTGTAGTTGGTGTAGTTGGTGTAGTTCGTGTAGTATGTGTAGGTGGTGTAGTTACTAGAGTTGGTGTAGTAGTGTAGTTGGTGTAGTATGTGTAGGTGGTAAAGTTGCTGTAGTTGGTGTAGTTGCTGTGGTTACTGTAGTTGGTGTAGTAGCTGTAGTTGCTGTAGTATGTGTAGTTGGTGTAGTTACTGTAGCTGCTGTAGTTGGTGTAGTATGTGTAGTTGGTGTAGTACCTGGAGTTGGTGGAGTTGGTGCAGTATGTGCAGTAGCTGTACTTGTTGTAGTTGGTGTAGTTACTGTAGTTGCTGTAGTTGCTGTAGTTGGTGTAGTTACTGTAGTTGGTGTAGTAGCTCTAGTTGCCGTAGTTGCTGTAGTTACAGTAGTTGTTTTAGTTACTGTAGTTGGTATAGTTCGTGTAGTTGCTGTAGTTGCTGTAGTATATTGTATGCGTAGTTAGTGTGGTTGGTGTAGTTACTGTAATTTGGCGTAGTTGGTGTATTTTGGTGTAGGTTGGTGTATTTTGGTGTAGTTTGTATAGTTAGTGTAGTTTGGTGTAGTTGTTGTAGTTTTTGTAGTTATACAAGATTTATTCTAAAAGATAATGACCAAAATTACGTAAATCCTAACTTACGTGAACACCATAAAAACTGTTGTCTGTCTCATCGGCGCTTTCTCTGTTTAATATATATAAATTTTTATGTTGAGAGTGTTGTTGTTGTTGTTTGTTTAATGAAATAATGTTGCCTTGTTAAATCGCTTATTTTGAAATACTACCATAATTGATTTACCTTGTTATAAAGCTTTCAACGGGTAAAGTTATTTTTAGATTTCTTTTGCATTATGTTGGGTAGATGGTCGCAGTAATAAACATCTCATCGGTATATTACCGTAAAGTTTCGGAAAGTAACGAGCCTCCCAAAGAAGCAACCCTTAAAAAGTTGGGTTAGATTTGACAGATGTTAGCAAATCACCACCATTAATTTCCTGCCGGAAATTAACGAGCCCCAAACATCATTCTACTACGTTCTTTAGTGAGAAAGTAGTAGTGACAAGAATCTAAATTGTCTTTTTGTTGATAAAAAGCAACTAAATCTTCATTACAACCTCGTAATCGTATTCCTATAACTATACCAACTATAACAGCTACTACACAAAAGTACATCAACTACCAAAACTATATGAAAGTACACAAAACTAGATCAACAACGGGAACTAAAGCAAATTAAACCAAATACACAAAACTACACCACCTACAAAGCTACACCAACTACACCAAACTACACCAAACTGCATCAACCTACACCAACTACACCAAATTACACCAAACTAGACCAACTACACCAAACTAGACCAACTGTACCAAACTACACTAACTACACAAAACTACACCAAACTACACCAAACTACACCTACTACACCAAACTACACCAACTACACCAAACTAAACCAAACTACACCAACTACAGCAACTACACATACTACAACTACTACACCAGCTACAGTAACTACACCATCTACAGCAACCACAGCAACTACACCAACTACACTAACTACAGCGACTACACCAACTACAGCAACTACAATAACTACACCAATTACACCAACTGCAGCTACTACACCAACTACAGCAACTACACTACTACACCAACTGCATCAGCTACAGCAACTACAGGAATTACAGCAACTACAGCAACTGCACTAACTACACCAACTACAACTACTACACCAGCTACAGTAACTACACCATCTACAGCAACCACAGCAACTACACCAACTACACTAACTACAGCGACTACACCAACTACAGCAACTACAATAACTACACCAATTACACCAACTGCAGCTACTACACCAACTACAGCAACTACACTACTACACCAACTGCATCAGCTACAGCAACTACAGGAATTACAGCAACTACAGCAACTGCACTAACTACACCAACTACAGCGACTACACCAACTACACATACTACACCAACTATACTAAGTACAGCAACTACACCGACTACTCTAACTACAGTAACTACACAAACTACACTAACTACAACAACTACATACACTACACTAACTACACATACTACACCAACCATACAAATTACACCAACTACAGCAACCACACATACTTCACCAACTAAACTAACGACACTAACTGCACATACTACACCGACTACACTAACTACACCAACCACAGCAACTACAAATACTACACATACTACACCAACTACAATAACTACAGCAACTACACAAACTAGAGTAACTACAGTAACTACAGCAACTACACAAACTACTGTAACTACAGTAACTACACCAACTACACAAACTACAGTAACTACAGAAACTACACCAACTGCATATACTACACCAACTACACATACTACACCAACTACATCTACTACACCAACTCCACTAACTACACCAACTACAGGAACTACACAAACTAAAGCAACTACACCAACTACACCAACTACATATACTACACCAACTACACTAACTACACCAACTACACAAACTACACTTACTACACCAACAACATGTACTACACCAACTGCACTAACTAGCCCAACCACAGAACATATACAACACCAACTACACTGACTACAGTAACTACACAAACTACACCAACTACATATACTACACCAACTACACTAACTGCATGTACTACACCAACTACACCAACCACACCAACAACAGTAACTACACCAAGTACAACTACATATACTACACCGACTACACTAACTACAGCAACTACACCAACTACATAGACTACACCAACTACACATACCACACCAACTACAGTAACTACACCAACTACAACAACTATACATAGTGCACTGACTACACTAACTACAGCAACTACACCAACTACATATACTACGCCAACTACACTAACTACACCAACTATATATACTACAGGAACTACACCAGCTACATATACTACACTAACCACAATAACTACACCATCTACAGAAGCTACACTAACTACACAT